TCTCTCTCTCTCTCTCTCTCTCATGTGGTCCGAGGGATGAACAAAAATAGCAAGACTTGCTTTAGACCTTTGCTGAAATCTTATTTGATAAGATTTGTTAAGTCGTTTTTAAGATTTGTTGGGATTTCAAAAGAAAAGAACAAATAAAATATTTCACTTAGAATCTCACTTCCAGATTTATGATTTCATAGTATTTATCCTTGAAAATCTTAAAAAAGTCTCAAAATGTCATTTGAAATCTACCTCCTATCATTATTATGAATATTATCTTTCTAATGGTGCACCAATTTCGAATTTTCTAAGATTTGAGACCTCTTTAAGATTTTCAAATTCAAATTTCTCATTGAAATGTTAAGTCTGGAGATAGGATTTGGAGTGAGATTTCGTATATGGTTTTAAATTGTCAGAAGTAGTCCACTAATATTGAAAATTTTACCACAACAACCAATCTTTCTGCAGCCAACGCGAAGAACACGAACGAGGCATTAGTAAAACCGAGCACCGATCCAGAGAGACAACAAGAATATTCCGTGAAGGACAAAGATCAACAAGAACCGGCAAACAACTTCTCCTTCTCCATCCTTTCCGAAAAGCGGAAGGCTTTGTTCGAGCCGCTTGAGCCAGTCAACAACGTGAATGGGAAACGCCCGTCGGCAGATTCCCTACTCCCACCTCCCGATTTTGAGTCCGCTAGCTACCCAAAAGGCTGGCTGATTGGGAAAAAACGGAAGCTTGTCAACGTTGATGTTGTGGAGAGCATGCGGAGGATTGCTGTTCAAGAAATGAACCGAAAGGTAGTTTTTACGAGATAGTAATTACAAAATATTGAGTTTTAGCTAGCCTTGCTTTATAACGGTTAAAGCACAAAAAGGTTTCGGTTAGTGAATGCAGGACAGGGAGATTGATGGGCTTAACGAGCAATTAGAAGAGGATGCACGGTGCCTAGAGCATTTACAGCTGCAGCTTCTTGACGAGAGAAGCAAACGAGCTGATGTCGAGAGACAGAATGCATTGCTTCAAGAACAGATAACAATGCTCATGGAGATGGT